ATTGACTGTAGGGCAGCTCTACCTCCCTCAAATAAGGAAGGCAAAGGTGACAGTGGAAAAGAACCCAAACACCTTGGGAAAAACCAGACTCAGTCAGGGGAGCAGTTTTCCTCTGGCCAAACTAATAAAGAAGCCGAGCTGTGGTCTAGCCAGAGGTGGACGACTTATCAGTGGCATTTAATGAGCATCCTTCTCGGTAGAGTTGCAGGTCCCAGCTGTTTCTAGGTGGTTTGTGTTTAAGCTAGCCATTGTGGTCTAAGAAGATTGTTGCATATTCGAGATTATTAGCTGAGAAACAATTCTCTGTTCATCAATTTCCCTTGTGACCATGTAGGAATAATTTTCGGGATCATCTTCAGTGCATGTCATTCATGTCAGGGTCTGCCTTATAAAGTTTGTGTAGAAACCTTCCTAAGAGTGAACGCACACTAGAATTAATTTACGTTTCTTTATTAATGATTATGTCTCATATGATGATTTAAAGTGGTCCAATTAAGTTTGTATTTAGGTTAAATATGTTTACTTAGAATTTACTTAGAACTAAATACATTCTCCCAACAAGTTTGTTTTTTTATGGATCACAACTTTTGTGTGGGAAGTGGCTTACACACATTTCCGCCGCTGTTTTGTGCCTACACTACATTTATAAATGAGAGCCCTGGCCTGGATGTGAACCAGATCCAATGACTATGTTTCCCTTGGATAAAGGAGAAGCAGATAAACTACAATATTCAGAGGTGCAATTCTTTTTTTAAATATTTTTTGGAGAAAGCTCAAGTTTTTGTGAACTCAAATGAAAGTTTTTTTTAGGTGTCAGTATCAATGTATTAGTCTTAAAATGAACATTTAGAAGATATAAACATCCATGGCTTCCAGTTTGATCCACCTCAGCATGCAGGTACATGTCCAACTTCATCCCAGAGGGACGGCAGCACAGAGCCCATCATATATACAAGTTTGCATTTACCACAAAACATATCAGCCCCGTTTGAATTACACTGAAGGTTTAAATTTAAAGCAGAGAGATGATCAGTCAGACTCAGCATTGGTATTAGAATGTGGCTGTCTTGAATCTGATGCGTTAGAGTTTAACTACTTGACTAGCAGATCTATGATAGAAACAGAATGCCATTGACTGTTCTTAAAAAAGGGGGACTGGTCCCGTCCTGTCTTAATGTTTCTGATGAAATTACGCCAAACATTGAACTAAACAGTGGATTCAAAAACACTTCACAAGACCTTTCACTTACTCTCTCTGCTTTCCGTCATGGTAGAAAACAACAGGTCATTCAATCTCTTGCTTCAGCAACACCATCACAAGCAGTCTCAGTGGGAGATTCTGCTTAGTCCTTTATGCTGCCAGAACCATGATCTCTGATAGTAGTGAGGAATCTCTGAAGTGTGTCCCTCCTTCTCATGAAGACAACAGGCCATGCAATCCCTTGCTGGAGCTCCACCATCACAGGCAGCCCCAATGGCAGATCCTGTTTAGTTCTTTATGCTACCAGAACCACGATCTCTGATCATAGTAAGGGGTCTCTGAAGTGTGTTCCTTCTTCTCTTGATGACAACAGGCCATTCAATCCCTTTCTTGAGCTCAACCATCACAGACAGTCCCAGTGGCAGATTCTTCTTAGTCCTTTATGCTGCCAGAACCACAATCTCAGATAGTACTGAGGGATCTGCAAAGTGTGTCCCTTCTTCTCCTGAAGACAACAGGCTGTTCAATCTCTTCCTCAAGCTCCACCATTACATACAGCCCTAATGGCTCATGTAAAGAACGTGCCATGTTGTGGCAATGAGCGGAGCATCTGGTGTGCGACCTGCTTTAAGCCTTCATTCAAACTACGAGTGGCTTGCAGTGGCAAAGTGACAAGCGTCCTTTTATTTTACCTGAGAGTGAGCGACTTCCAGCGACCTCCGTCTACGCAAGCAACAGCGACTCTTGACAATCAGATGGGCGTGTCGAGCGATGCAACAAAGTCGGGGATCCTTTAACTTTATGCAAATAAAAAGCGACTTGAGTGATAGCCAGTAGGAGCACTTGAAGCTCTTTAGTTTCAATGGTTAAAAAGCATAAAAGTTTGCCGCCTTTTTTGAGATGTTGTGTAAACACCCTCTTAAAATATGTCATCTTGATTTTGAGTTGACTCTAAATTGTCACAATGTCACAATTCTGTGTTTAACAATCTTGTTTTTTTTAGTTTTTGCTCAAAATCTTACAGCAAGTTTACATCTTTCACATCTTTTTTTTTTTTTTTTGGAAATGACAAATTGCAACATAGCATCTTTATGAACTTTTAATTTCTTCATTCCATGACAGAAACACATTTTTATACAAATCTGAGATCAGTGTGACATTTTGAAAATGTAATTAAATCAACTTTTCCAGTGGACATTGTTTGTAAGCTGCGCTCATTGCGAGATTGCTAGTTAAGCAAATGCCCTTAGTCTATACAGTACATTCAGAACACGTTTGTCTCCACCGACAGACTAATACACTTTAGGTTTGGTGTCTGGCTGAGAGCCAAGGACCTATAGAACATTCCCATGAGTCTCATGAGAGCAGTCATTATACCCACCGATGGGAACCGAAAGACTGAATGAACATCCTCAGTCCAACCTGAGGTAACTTTAATGCACTGTATGTGTTAACATCATGTCCGACACCTTAAATGTTCAGTGATGGTAACAAAAACTGTATATTTAAGACAGCCTGACCTTCTTTATTTATAAGAGGAAAATTTAAGTTGAAAGCAAATGCCAGGAAGTATTAGGTTAACCCCTGGTGTTGAAGATTTTTGGAAAATATCCAAATAAAAGGCAAATTACAAAACACGTCCCATCCTTAAAGGTGGTGTATAACTTCTGTGGCACACATAGTACTTAAAGGAATAGTTTAAAAACAGTTTGTTTGTTTTTTTAAGCCAAATTGGTTTCATTTTAAATTAACCCACAAATGGCTTGATGATAATATTTTTATTTTATGGGGAAAATACTTCCTTCACTCATTTTCCTTCAGCTTAGTCTATTTCAGAAGTCCCCACAGTGGAATAAGCCGCCAACTATTCCGGCATATGTTTTACGCAGCAGATGCACCTCTAGCTGCAACCAAGTACTGGGAAACACCCATCCACACTCATCCACACACACAAACACATACTCTATGGCTAATTTAGTTTACTTATTTCACCTATACCACATGTCTTGGCTTGTGGAGAAAACCCACACCAACACGGGGAGAACATGCAAACTCCACACAGAAATGCCAACTGGCCCAGCCGGGACTCGAACCAGCAACTTTCTTGCTGTGAGGTAACAGCTCAGTATTTTCTAACTACTGAGCCACCGTGGCACCCAAATACTTCAACTTTAAAAATTAGAACCTTACCCTTATGTTATTTCTTTCTTTAATGGAAGCCAAAAAATACAACTTTAGCTGCTCTTTTTTATATATATAGTTCAAATACAATACAAGTTCAAAAAGCTATTCAATTACATAAAAGTATAATTGTGTGCTGTATTGAGACATTCACTTTATTTTAATAATGTATCAGCATTTTAAAATGTGCAGTGTTGTCCTTTGTGAGCATAAGGCTTTTTTTTTTATTTGGATCTGTTACTTATACACAAAGTAAACTTTCAGTTAGTTATCAAGTCCGTACTTGCAATTTCCATTTAAGTTGAAGACTTTCATTTAACATGTATTTTATTTATAAATGTTTTAATTTAGGTTAAAGGGACATTCAACTTTTTTGGAAAACTCATCTAGAGTTAAACAGTTGAGTCTTACCATGTTTGAATCTATTCATATAGTTTTCCGGGTCTAATAAAAGCACTTTTTGCTTTATTAAATTAGACTATTAGAGTTAGAAATTCAAAAAAAGGTTTTAATAATTTTCTTATTTAAAGCTTGATTCCTGTATAGTTAAGTTGACTAAGACCACAGCAATTTACTAGGTTGATACAGCTAAGGACTACTCTCATTTGGCTTAATAATCAGGGAATTTTGCTGACGTACCATTACTGCAGCAGGTGAAATGATATTATGCAGCACTTGAAAATACTCCCCAGCTCGGTAACTGTTGGCAGCTAGCTCTCTGCAACTCTCACATGGTCACTCAATAAAGCTAATCAGGGCTGCACCCAGTCAGTACCTGGATGGGAGAACACATGGGAAAGCTAGATTTCTACCAGAAGTAATGTTAGTGAGACCATCAGGGGGAGCTCAACCTAATGCCTCAGTATATTGCTGGGGACTTTATACTGCTCAGTGAGCGCTGTCTTTCGGTGAGAAGTTAAACCGAGGTTCTGACATTGTGGTTGTTATAAATCCCAGGATGTCTTCAAAAAAGAGTAGTGGTTTAACCCTGGCATCCTGGCCTAATTTGGCAACTGGTTTCTGTCCATCATGGCCTCCTAACCATCCCCATGTCATAATTGACTTTGTCACTCTTTCAGCTTTCCACCAATCATCTGGTGTTGTGTGCGGTTTGGCACAATATGGCTGCCATCGCATTATCCAGGTGGATGCTTCACACTGGTAGTGGATGAGAAGATTCCCCCCCAAAAACCTGTAAAGTGCTTTGAGTGTCCAGAAAAGCACTATATAAATGTAAGGAAATATTATTACTATTAAACACTCTGCCAAACATCAATGTCGATCTTAGTACATTATGTAATACAGAATGATCCATCTTTAAATAGGAAAATTATCAAAATTCTTTGAAAACTGAAATGAGTGAAATGCTAATGGTCTAACCCAATTCAATGATTTATGCTAAGCTAAGATAAAAGTGCTCCCAGACCCGGAGATCATCTGAATGGAATCAAAAATAATAAAAATCAACTGTTTAACTCTAGGGAACTTGCAAAACAAGCCTGTTTCCAAAAAGGTGGCATGTTTCTTTAAGAAACAACACTGGAAAAATGACTATTGCACAGGTTGTGTAAAAATCAATAATTAATGTTGCTTTTTGTATAATTTACATTATATGAAGGTGAAGATGAGCAATTGAGGACAGACTTTCCAACATCTACTGAATACAACAACATTTTATAAACTAAGAATTCTGGGATGTGAACAAACACCCCAAAGGCATCAATAAACTATACAGAGGTATGTTTCTGAATGCATCTTACATTACTCACCTATTTAAAGTGTAATGTTTGACTGTTCCAAACACATCTTGCCCGGTAGGAGACATATTGTGTCCTCAGGGATGACTGGCTTTCTCTGTCTGTCAGCCCCCCTGTAAATGCATTATTTCCTATCTGCAGGGTGTGAATTTGTTACATTGTGATGGATGATGCTAAGCAGACAGCCATTTCACTCTGTAGTCAACAAACATTACTGATGATTAGATCTTCACGCACCGATTTATGCATCGGCACATTATCATTCTGACATAAGATGACACACTGCACAACTTCTGGGGTTGTCACTGCAAAACATTTCCATTTAATTCATGAACAAAATGCCCAATGGGCGAACGACTGCTGGCTTTGTGTACTCTAGGCTCTGCCAGGCCATTTTCTTTTGTTTGATGACCATCAAAGACAAAGAGGCTGGTTCAGATAACCATCTAAAAGCTCCCACACAGTAAATAAAAGTAAAGAGCAGTGGAAATATTGATCTAGAGCAAGCACGGAGCTGAGCATCAGAGCATTTCCATCAGCCAAACCACACTGCTCTCTTCAGCATCAGAAAAAAAAGACAGAATGACATAACAGAGAAAAAAACCTACACAGAATGAGGCATTTGGGCTACAAATACAGTTGTGCTTGAATCATAATTCAAGATTGCCTATGAAGATCATGTAAATTAACAAGGTACAATAGCAACAAACTCAATATTTTCCAACTATCGATTGTCTTTCATATATCAAATCAGTATTCTTTTTATACACATGGCAGGTACATATTGGGCCAATGAGTAACGTATATGTATAGCAAGTCAATATGCCTACCAAAAACACCAAGTTGGACGCTACAGACAGCCTATAACTATGGAAAGACAAATAAGTGAAATTACACCTACTCTACAGTATTACCAAAGGATGAAAAGATGGAAAAAATCCCGACGTTTTGCAGTGCAAACGCTGCAATTATTGTGTTTTGCAGAGCAAAATCGATGCAAAAACTGTGTGTTTTGATCCAGCCAAGAATGCCATTTTTCGTTGTTTTTTTTTTACCTCTTTTGTATGTCAAAGGGAGCGTAAAATGACGACTTTGTATAGTATTATAATCAGCCCCTCCCATTACTTCACAGTATAGCACATGAAAGTGGAAAGACCTGTGTAGTAGAGCGTCGAACTGAATGATGATCCACCTTCAGCACTCTTATATTTAAACTGTTGCGATGTGTGTTATATATGCCATAGTGCTGCTCTTGCATAGTATCCACATTTTTCCTTTTATCATAGATATATTACAAAACCTGAAACAATAAATAAATAAATACACAAATATTTAAATAAATGAGTAAACAAATCCATGAATTTGTGCATAAATAAAGTAATAAATAAATAAATATGCAAATAAATAAATAAATAAATGTATACAAAAATCCACAAATTCCTGCATAAATAAATATTTAAATAAATAATAGTGCAGACTTTTCTGTATTTCGAGGATGATAGAGATTTGGTAATAGGCGCAATTTGACTCATTTGGCTTTCCATATATAATAAGCAACACAACACCACGGCGGATGCGCAGGCACTCTCTCTCACTTACAAATACACACACGCACGCACACACACAGGATTTGCACACTGGTCTTACCTTTACTTGTAAATGAATTATTGAAATGATTTGAATTACTTTGAACTAATCAAGTTATATTCTGTCCTGTCCTTTGAAACAAGCTATTTAGCTCCGGCATTGTTCATCAATTATATATTCACGAATTCATTCATTCTAAATTTATTCATTTATTCATGTATTCATTCATTCTAAATTAATGAAATAAATAGCTATACTAACAAATAGTACACTGTAAAAAATGCAGGGATCCACACAATTCATTCATGTTGTCCCAACAAGAATCGATCAAGTTCACAAATTTAAGTAGCGTAGCAGCCCTTTAGCTTCAGTAAAGAGGCAGAGAGTTTTGACAGGTGCATTTCAATTGTCTACGTAGATGCAATAAACTGTCACCGAAGTCATCATCTCAAATCTTTGTTACATACAAGCATCCATTCTCATCTTCATCTGGTTAGTGAGCTCATAGCACATAACATCTTTTTGCACATAACATCATAGAACTGTGTAGCACTGTAGCACCAAAGGACCGTAAAACTACAAAAAAACAAAACAAATAACAGGAAAAAATGAACTCAACAAACATTCATAAAACATCTAACATTTTTCAAATAAATCAAACAATAAACAGAAAATACCTCACTCTGCTTGCCAAAGGGATACTAAAGAATAAAAGCTCAAGGCATTCTTCTGAGCTGTACCTGTTAGCTCGCAAACAAACTCGAATTGCTCTTACTCTACTTTGTCTCACTTAAATCCTATCTGTCTATAACCTCCAGTTGTGACTCCAAATAAAGCAAGCAAAGCGGGTAAATTAAATTATGCCGGTTACAAGTAGATTGAACTTAAAACAATTAAGTTGTCCCCACAAAAATATTGAGAATAGTGTTGTTTAAGCTCATTTTTATTAAGTATTACATATATACCTGTCATGAGTACAACCCTGATTACCATCCAAAAATAGTGTAATCATTTTGCTTGTATAGGCCAAAATAAATCAAGTAATCCAACATCAGTGCCTTAGAGCTCCTCATCTTCTTTAAAAGTGAGTAAAGCTGTGACCATAGGGTGCATGAATTGTTCAATATTCCACAATGTCTGTATTGGTTGAATACGTATATTCTGTTCTGATCAAGTTTATTTGTGTAGCACTTTTTACATTATCCTTCCAAGCAGCTTTACAAAAGGTGCACATCATTGCATTATGATCAAAATCAGAAAAATTTAGGGTCTTGTGTATAGGGTGGACAGTATATGTATATAGTTAACCAGGAGTTATACAATAGAAGTTTTAAACGGTGATGTCTATGTATACAAAACATTTTCCATGTAGTGATCAGATCATTACAATAATTAAGAACAATTTGGGTATTTTGTATTGCTTCAGGGCCTACTCACACTATGCTATCCGAACCGTACCCAGGCCCGTTTCCTGTATTGTTTGAGAAGTGTGAGTGCGCTGAATTGAGCTGAGCGCGGTTCACTTGGGCTTTGGCGCAGTACGCTTGTGTGTGAGTGCAAAACGTGCCTGACCCCGAAACTGAGAGCGAGACGTGACTTTTAAGGGGCGGTTTCATATGGATTTATTAATCATTTCTACTGTTCAATGATCGCAAAGTGTCGTAGATTATTAAAGACGCAAACCCCTCACTGCACCACAGCTGCGCCTTCAGCAAACCTCCTCATTCCTGCAGCACGAGTACTTTATGATTGTTTATGAGCGTCAAAAGTGGCTGATCGGTTCAGTAAAATATTTGACTGTGCCACCGCATCCCATATGATTAAAACAATATAACTAGAGAAATCTCCATTGTGCTGAGCGAGAGCGCTTCTCTACTGAACAGTGTATCATTGATGACGTAATCGTGCCCAGGCCCGAATTTAATGTGAGTGAGGGCCGTCGGTGGAGACGGGAGCGAGACAAGTGTGCTTTGGTCCGGTTCAAGGCAACTGTAGATAGTGTGAGTACGCCCTAAGACTTAGGGTGCACTTACACTTTGGTATTCAAACTGTGGCCAGACACGTTTCCCAGTTCATTTGACAAGTGTGAGTGCACCGAATTGAGCCCAGGCTTGGTTGGAAAAGGTGTGCCAGAGTGCAGTTCGGTTGGGCTTAGGCGTTGTAGCTTGTAGTGCAAGTACCTAAACTGAAGACGCAACGTCACTTCGTCAACTTAGAATTATAAGGTTTTATCCGACATTTGTCAAAATAAGTTTTTGACATATTCTTAGTAAATGACAACTTATTTACATTTATTTACATGCTTCTTTTATAAGTTGTTTACATTTTAAGACTTTTTATTAAAAAAAAATGTTACACACATACTGTTTGCTATTTAATGCAAAAACTTTGAATCAATCAGATTTGCAGATAGAACCTTACAGTTCCAAGTTGACGACTTTTAAGAGACTGTTTAATATGGACCTAATCATTTTTTTCAATTAATGCAAACTCTCATTGTAAGAAACGAGGAAGGTAATGCTGACTCGTAGGAGGAGTTTCACAAAGGAGTGTCAGTCAAAACACTTTAAACAAGATCTATTTCTTGAGGTTTTATTCACCAATGCCAGTACATACATCTCTCCACATGGTCTCAGACTGGTTTCTAAACATAAATGCATAATTGTCAGACCAAAAAAATTTATTGCATAAACAAACAATACTTTATAAATAAACACTACAAGAAAACAGCATATGCAAACAATATTCCATAAATTAATAGGGATGGCTAACGTGAAACTACTGTTTAGAGATCCCGAAGCTCAAGTCTTTTGAAACACTGCACCAAAACATAATCAAGGTCACGTGACTAAAGTGTTTGAAACACCTGGTCACGTGACTAAAACGATTCAAAGCATCAATCATGTCAGAAGAGTTTCGAACCTGGCGAATCTGTGTTTGACTGACAGGGTTAGAAAAGACCTCTGTCTCATATAGCCTAGTAGTGAACTGTGCATGTGCACGTTGTTTCTGTGCTTTAAATGGCTTTTGGGTTTAAATCCCAACTTGTACAAACACTCTGAAATCATAATTTTTTTTAATGTATTTTAATAATGTTACTGTTTTATGGTATTGTCTAGATAGGATACAGATGTGGATACGCCATCAATTTAGCATCATTTTTGTAACACTGTAAAACAATAATTAATATTTTTACAGTACTGTGATGGTTGGGGTATTGATGGTAACTTAAATCCCTCTCTGTGGGGGGTGGAGTTCTGGATGATCACGGAAATCACACTACGCCACTGACTGAGGGGGGTGAGACAAGCTTGCTTTGGCGCAGTTATAGGCAACTTACCTAATGTGAGTACGCCCTAATGTTAACATACGGGTATTTAAAGTGCATTTATTCTACAAACTAATACTACAAAATGGCGTAGAATTGTGTGTAAGTATGCAATTTGGGATGAACCTATTTTTTTTAAATAAGGATGCATCAAAAGGAAAAACATATAATAAAATATCTGTATGCCTGCAAGCCTATGGCCAATATATAAATGGGTTGGTAAATATGTATAAATACAGATATGAATTTTCTGAATCCAAGAACAAAAGGCAAACAAAGTGGACAACTTAGACCTTCAGTAAGCTGCAGAAGTCTAGAAAATGGCAAGGAAACTTCTAGATATTTTGTTTCACAAACCTCTAATTTCATTTCGGATGTCATCGTTTTCCACGTTAAAAAAACAGCAAAAACCAGCACAACCAGTCAACATCTTTCCTCTAACAAAAACTTCTCTGAAGTGAATGTCTGCCGTGGGAAACGTCATATCATCTGTAAGGCACCAGTCGAAAAGTCCTGGGCAATTTCATGCATCTAAAGTGGATCTATAAGTGGAAATAATCTATAGTTTATTAGTTTTAATAAATCAACCTGATCATTTTATTATTGAGCCAGTAACAATGACATTAAAAATAAGCATTAAATGAGCAGTCCCAATATGGTAGCTGATATATAACGGATCACTATTTTTAAATGTGTGATTTTTAAAGGTGTGTGCTATATTGTCTATATAAGTTTTATTCATGCATCATATTAAACAGCAAGATTGATCTTTGGAATATTGATTAGTTAAATTAAGCTGCTTTTCCACTGCACAGTAGTGTGGCTAGCATAGCTCAGCTCGATTTGTTGTAATTGTGCATTTCCACTGCAGTTTAGTACTCCTTAAAAGGCCTGTGAAGTGCTTTATATTGTGGTTTTTATTCGATGTTTGATGTAATCTCAACTGACACATGAAGAGAGGGTAGCTCCTCCCCTTTAAAAAAAAACAGCCAATAGCATTTTGCTTTATCACCGCTCTGCTACTGAGAGTGGTTGAGCATCGAATGTGAAGCATCTTGAAAAGCATTTGATTGGTGAAGATTTAATGAGAAACTGAAGCATAAGGTGACGTAAACAAAACGTTATAGGCGTAAGTGAAAAACTACAAGCTTTACATGTTTGTATTGATTTTATATCTCCTAAAAATGAATTGTCACTGCTGTCCACTAGCTTATAGATATCCTAAAAACTAACAATAATGTTAACATCTAAAAAAAAAAAAAAAAAAAAAAAACTTTCTTTTAGTTTCATGAGCCTTTAAAACAGGGTGGAATCACCACTATAGTTGCTCTGCCTCTACTGTCGTGACTTCCATCCCATCCACACCTCTGCTACCAATGAGAAGAACATCTGGACCTCTTCTACTGATAACAATGCTTCCATTTTGAGTGTTTTTCTTTTAGTGCTGATCAGTGATTAGTGCTGTGTAATATTTCACATTTTAATAATGGTATGGCTCATTTGGAAACCCGAGGTAATATAAAAAAGTACTCTGTACTAGAAAACGAATGCAGTGGAAAAGCCTCCAGAAGTGAGCCGTATCAAACCAAAGTGCCATTCCATGCAGTGGAAAAGCACATTAAGATAATGAATAATGGATATGTCATTCATAAATCCCAAAGCAGATCTGGTGGTGCTTGGGGAGGTGGAGGCTTTTCAGAGAAACTGATCATTTGCTACAGTTATCTCACTATTCATAGTAACCTCATCGGCCGTCAGTCTCATCAGTTTGTGCCTCTGCATCATCTAGACTTTCATGACTGAATGATATGTATTTATCTTTAGCATTCTCACACACACACACACCATATTTTATTTAATTAACAAGAACAAGAATGTACAATTCACTCTTTTACAACAGACAGAAAACAAGCAGGGCATTACTAATCCCAATTGTAAATCTTTCATACAGAAAACAGTTTATTTTTTGGGGCAGTTCTATATAAAAAGGTAAGTGCACTGTAAAAATCCAACTCACAAATTGTTAACTCTGTTTAAAATAATAAGTTAGTTGGACATATTTTGAGCTCAGAGTTTAATTTACTCATAAGACGATTTAGCTGCTTGGATCTGTTTGTTCAAGGAAAGTAAAAAAAATCAGTTGAGGAGACTTTAAATTTTAATTTCTTCATTTGAGTGGTTACCACTATAAAAAGAAAAAGCTTACTTAAATTTTAACTTAAAGAGTTAACTTAAAATTTTTAAAGACATTTTGAGTTTATTAACCTTCAGTGGTTGAAGTTGTGCCAAATTATCCCATAAAGTATACTTGACTTAAAACAGCCTTTTCAGTCAACTTGAAAAAAAATATTTGCAGCAATAAGTTGCAGCCAATTGCTTTAAAAATTTAAGTTAACTTAGCTTTTTATTTTTTACAGTGTAGTTGCAAACAATTTATATAAGATGAATTTAAACAAACTGTCATGGTCACCAGCGATTACTGGTAAACACAGATACAAATCGGCCATTTTATGGACTACAATTCCAGTCATGCATCACACACACTCACAGCGGTTCCTGATCCTGACTGATTAAAACACACAGCTGAAGCTGCTCTTGGACTGATTTCAGGACTTTTTACACAGCACACAAACACGCAGACTTGGCTGAGTCTTGTTGAACTGTGAGTGAACATTACAACGCGTTTTCCTTGCCTTGCTATGTTTTTGACAATCGCTTTGTTATGTTTGTTTACGTTGTATGCTGCCTGCATTTTTGACCCTCTGCCTGTTATTTTGACTACGACTCTGAATTGCCTTTAAACATATGTTTGCTCCTCTGTTGACGATTCTATGTTCAATAAAGACTTTGCATTTGGATCCGCACCTCTGCTCTCAGCGTCAAATCACGTTACACAAACAAATTAAGTTGAACATTACTCAATTGCATTTGGTTAAATTCAGCCCATATAAATTGTTTGTAACCACCTTACCTTAATCTAAATCTAATAAATCATGTTTTTCAGTGTGTGCATTTAGTACTCAAACTTATCTGCTTTGCCATTGTGCTGTTTGGGTCTTTATAAAGGTTCAGTGCTGTTACAGTTGGAACAAAATACAACCACTTCATATTAGGTGGCCTTAACTACTATGTACTTGCATCAAAAAGATAAATACAATGCACTTACTGTGTTTATAGTGTATCGGAAAACACTTCTGATGCTCTTGAGGAGGGATACAGGTAGGGTTGGCGACAGGTTTGGTGGTATGGGTAAGTTTAAGGGGGCTTTAGGTGTAAGGAATGGTCAACAGTGTAATTACCACTGTAAATATTACAGAAATTAATTACAGATTTAAATAGATGTAAGTATTTAATCAATCTTAAGTACAATGTTAGTTAAAGCCACCTTATATAAAGTGGGACACAAAACTGCTAACATTAAACAAATCAGTAACATCAAATTATTATTTTGTGAATTATGCAATTGTGAAATGAATCATTTGTGTTTGCTGTATGGAATTAAATCATATTCCAAAGTGCTGTGTGTTGTGTTCAACATCAGCCATTAGTTTATACATTTCATTTTCCAGACGCTCATATTTTCAAATGTCCAGACATATTCTTCAGTATGAATATTGACCTATAAAGCGACAGAGATCTTACTGTATGTCACACCAGTAGCTTTTATCCCTTCATATCTTTTTTCCGTCTTCCTGTCATCCTCAGACAGTTTATCAGCTCCGCTCAATGTGACCATCAAAGCACTGGAGGGGAACTCAGCGATTGTGACATGGGACATTCTGGAGGGAGACCCAGTCATTGGGTTTGCCATCACCCAGCAGGTATAAAATCATTTTATGGTCAATTTTTTGTGTAAAACATGGGAAAATCGCCTCATAACTCAAGTGAAATGAGGCGATATGACGGAGGAATGCTTGTGTAAGCATGTTAGTTATGTGTCGATGCAGACTGGTTTGCTTTTGATAGGTGGCCTTGAGCATTCTGTAAATGTTTTATGCATGCATGCATTAGTGTGTGTGTGCGCAGATTTGAGGAAAGCAGTCACTGTGGAGACCTCTGTAATAAGGACTGCAGTGACCATCTGCTAGAGTACAAAGCCATTACAGCTTGTCATCAAACTGAGCGAGACACAGTTTCTGCAGTGTGCATGAATATGTGTGTGCGTGTTTGTGTTTTTATCTTCTCATGAATTTCTTATGCCACTTTTCACAATTACAGGGGGAATTCATTAAGAATGAGCTGCACTGATTGCAGTTTTTTATTGCTGCTGTAAATCTGTTCTGTGCTTTTCTGAAGATTAAAGTCAACATTAAACAGAATTTTAGACCTATTTCAATATACCCTCACTGGCCACTTTATTAGATACACCTGACTAGTACCGGGTTGGACCCCCTTTGCTTTCAGAACTACCTTAATCCTTCGTGGAACAGAGATTCTCAGAGATTTTGGTTTATATTGACATAATAGCATCACGCAGTTGCTGCAGATTTGTCAGCTCTCCCGTACCACCACATCCCAAAAATGCTCTATTGGATTGAGATCTGGTTACTGTGGAGGTCATTTGAGTACAGTGAACTCATTGTCCTGTTTAAGAAACCAGTCTGAGATGATTCACGCTTTATGACATGGCACGTTATCCTGCTGGAAGTAGCCATCAGAAGATGGGTACAATGTGGTTATAAAGGGACGGACATGGTCAGCAACAATACTTAGGTAGGCTGTGGCGCTGACACGATGTCCAGTTAGTACTAATGGGCCCAAAGTGTGCCAAGAAAATATCCCTCACACCATTACACCACCACTAACAGCCTGACCCCTTGATACAAGGCAGGATGGATCCATGCTTTCATGTTATTGAAGCCAAATTCTGACCCTACCATCTAAATGTTGCAGCACAATTCGAGACTTTATCAGACCAGGCAACGTTTTTTCAATCTACTATTGTGCAATTTTGGTGAGCCTGTGTGAATTGTAGCCTAAGCATCCTGTTCTTTGCTGACGGGAGTGGCAACCGGTGTGGTCTTCTGCTGCTGTTGCCCATCCACCTCAAGGTTGGACATGTTGTGTGTTCAGAGATGCTCTTCTGCATACCTCGGTTGTAAAGAGTGGTTGTTATTATATACTAGTTCGAGTCCCTACTGGACCAGTTGGCATTTCTGTGTGGAGTTTGCATGTTCTTTTTCTGTTGGCGTGGGTTTCCTCCAGGTGCTCCGGTTTTCCCCACAGTCCAAAGACATGCGCTATAGGTGAATTGAATAAGCTTAATTGGCTGTGTAGTGTATGAGTGAATGCGGGAGTGTATAGGTGTTTCCCAATACTGGGTTGCAGCTGGAAAGGACATTCGCTGAGTAAACATACACTTGAGTTGTTGGTGATTCATTACACTGTTGGAACCCCTATAAGGGACTAAACCAAATGAAAATGAATAAATAACCAATGTTAAATGTTAAAAAAGTAAATTCATTCATTATCCTTTGGCTTAGGCCCTTAATTCATCAGGGGCCACCACAGTGGAATGAACCGCCAACTTATTTAGCATATGTTTTACACAGCAGATGCCTGTCCAGCTTCAACCTAGTACTGGAAAATACAGAAATGCCAACTGACCCAGCCAGGATTCGAACAAGCAACCCTCTTGCTGAGAGGTGACAGTGCTAACCACTGAGCCACTGTGGCACTCCTAAAAAAGTATAATTATCTGAATTTCGATTTCATGTTGACTTTAATGGAACTGGTATCTGGTCATTGCTTATTATTGCAAGCGTCACAATCTCACTGATGTTCTTTATTTGATTATTGTTTTGGTGTTTCTAGAAGAAGGACGTGCGCATGCTGCGATTCATCCAGGAAGTGAACACCACCACTCGCTCATGTGCATTATGGGATTTGGAGGAAGACACCGAGTACATTGTCCATGTTCAGTCCATTAGCATGAGCGGCACCAGTCCTCCAAGTGAACCTGTCCTGTTCCGCACACCCAAAGAGTCAGAGAAACTGGCCTCTAAAAGCCCAGGTAACACTGCACTTTCCTGCAATCAACCTTTTTTGGATATAATAGTCTATAATGCATCACAACACCTTGCACTATGGTATTATTTGAAAGTACTTCAGGCAAGACACTGCGGATGAGTAGCATTAAATGTTTAGTTTGCCCCAAAATAATAAAAAAATGTCAAATAAAAACTATGCACTATTTACTTGCTTACAAGTGTTTCCAAACCTTTTATCAATTTCTTTTATTTCTGTTGAAAACAAAGAAGATGTTTTGAATGATGTTGGAAACTGATAACTATTAGTTAGGAGAAAAAAAAAAGTCAATGGCATAGTTTAGAACAAATTTTGAAATATGTTCTTTTGTTATTAACAGAAAATAAGAAGAGAATTGAGGACACAATGACAGAATTTTCATTTGTGGGTTCAAGAGCTGCAATTTTTGTATGAAGTTTTCTAAAACGCTATACTTAAATTGCACCTGAAATCCAAATTTACAATGTTTATTTTGCTGGCTCACATTGTTATTCTTGTTTTTTTTTTACATTTTTTTTTTATTTGTTTTTCTGTAAGAGCTTCCAAAGCAACTGCATATTAATACCCTTTTATAGCAGCCGTTAGTTGCTGCTTTAGGAAATGATGCGCAAAATGAAAGCTCCGCCCCATAAATCACTATTTTGTTTAATTGGAAATACATCAACATGCGGAAAAAATAAAGTCTCAGAAACTTCTGATTTACACAGTAAATTAAGTATGAAAAGAGACATTAATTTGTAAATATGAGCTGATTTGCATTTCTAGCACAAACATGTGAAATCATTGTTAGGCTAAAAATGTATCACTCATTTTAGGAAACCTATAAATAGAAAACAAATTGATGTATATATATATATATATATATATATATTGTAGGATAAAATGTATTTAAGAAAGCAAATACATAAGCAAATCCTTCTGAATAAACCTTCACAACACAGATATAAATACATTTTTATTATTTGAAGGGTGTTGCTGAACACTGATCTCTATGATCTTTACAGAGAGATTTTGGAAATGCAAAATTGCAAGTTTATTATCCTGAAGTTGCAAACATGTTTACAATAATCACAAAAGAATTACTATCAGTATATAAGTTTTTGAAGTATCTTCTTTTGTGATTAAAAGAAGAAAGAAATAAAGGTTGTGTAAACAGTTACTGGATTTGGTCATTTATAGATTGTTTTCTGAAATACTATGCAGTTTTAATATCTATGTTTATCACTCAAATCAGAAAATATATGGAACTGGAAAATATACATACATACATTCATACATACATACATACATACATACATACATTACACACACACATTCTCTTAATGAGTTATGTGTGTGTTTTGAGCATAACATGCAATAAACCAATCAGAGTCTCATCCCCCATTTCCTTTAAGAGTCAGTTGCGTCGAGCCATGGCCCAGTTGCTATTTACATGGTGTACTTTGTAAATGGAAAAACTAAACGCTTAACTAATGAGAAAACAGTTTAACAGACCATCTGCAGTGCATGGATAAAGAATGAGCCTCCTCTATTCAGCCTCTTTACTTTACTCCTTTACTTTCTTGGATAAGGAAACAGTGTTGTACACACTTCACTGAAGACATCCATTAGCCTACATATTTGATTTTGTTTAAGACTTATTTCAAAACTATTTCTAAATTCAGTTCTAATTTCCAGCAAATTAATAAATGAACAACAATAATAAAGTGTGGTCAGAAAACTGAGTTATATCCAAACACATGTCTTACTCTTATGCCACATATGGTGATGCAAACATTAAAACAAATATAATGAGATGAAGAAGGCACTGGGCCAGTGGCTTTTATATTCATGTAGAAATTAGTACTTTGTAACATTTGAATCTTAATGTTTTTCATTTTTAATGATATTTGTGTATTGCTGTACATCCTGTGTGTATTAAGCAATGTGTTTGTGTTTAGACCTGCATAGGTGCATAACTAACGCACTCTGCGACTTTAGACTGGCTAATACTTAATCAGTTATTTCAGTTCCTCAAAATATCAACATACCAACATTGTGCTTTAACACACCTTTTTACAATGGCACACCCATGAGTCCACAAAATGGCACAAATTAATTTGCTATTTAAACAGCGTGGTGCTAAATGTTAGAATTAGGTTTGCGCTGGTCTGAAAATAGCTACAAATTGTGCCATGTATGTCTTTCGCCTTATTGCACCGGGTGTATGATAGGGACTGCGGGATCAATCCTTGCTAAAAATCTGACATTTAAAGTCTGTTATGCTTTTTCAAATGTAACCTTAACAAAAGAAAACAAATGTGTTTTCAGCATAATGAAATATGTATGAGGACTGAGGCCGTCAAGCTACATAATAATAAAAAAAGCACCATAAAAGTAGTTGGTATGCCTTGTACGTTATATATTCCAGAACCTCTGAAGCCGAATGATTGCTTTGTGTTTGGAACAGATTGAGACGTACATTTACTCATTTAGCAGATGCTTTTATCCAGAGACACTTACAGTTAGGGAATATGACGAAGCGATGCATGTTAAAGAAGCTGTAATGTGAGAAGTGCTGAAATACAGGGTTTATAATTGTTCAGAGGAGCACAGGAATGGAATACAGACTCCAATAGAGATGAAATGTACTGTATTATTTATCATTTTGGCTTCAGGTTAACAGGAGTTCTCTGTGGTATGTTCAGCGGTAAAACTGCAACACCTTGTTCACAAAAAATACATAAAAACTTTAATTTCTCAATGGCTAATACTGTTCTTGAAACATATTTTTTTACATTTTTATGTGTTTGTTTCTATCTGAAGATAAATATATGTCCAGTTTCAACCAAAAAATGAAAAACTAATATATAAAAAATTTTTTTTTGACTTTTTCTTTCTGAATTCCGTTTATTTCACAATATTCAGATGGTTCTTCCCTTACAAATGAGATATAAAACATCAACCAATCAGGGGAGATTAACGTCAGAATTGCAAGATCAGAATTCTGAATTAGACTCACAGGCCACTTTATTAGGTACATTAAATGTTCAACTGCTCGGTAACACAAGTTTCAATTTAACATTGAACATGGTATAGCTATTGGTGCCAGACGGGCTGGTCCGAGTATTTCAGAAACTGCTGATTTACTGGGATTTTAATGCACAACCCTCTTTAGGGTTTACAGAGAAAGGTCCAAAAACAGGAAAATATCCAGTGAGTGGCAGTGAGGTGTACCTAATAAAGTGGCCGGCAAGTGTATATCTTCCACATCATATTATTTTTTATTGAAGTTGTTAAAATTGTTTGCTTTATTTATTTGCAAATATAAATGTATATGTATTGTAAAAAAAAAAAGTTTGCTGTCTTGAAAAAACTTGTAGAATTATTTATTTAAAAATTGTGTTAAATTGACTTAAAACTTAAATCTTGTACAACTTAAAAGAAGTACAAAAACACAATTAACTTATTAGAACAAGTTAATGTAACAAAAAACATTTTGATCATACCATTTTATAGAGTGCTTTCGTAAAGTTTTGAGTTTATATCCCACAATTCAGTTTACTTGCAATATTTTTCTCATACTTACAAACTTATTTTGTTTGCAATTATGAATCAAGGTGCTTTCTACAATTTCAGAATTGCAAACAATTTGAAGAAGTTAAATTCTGTGTCAGAAACAGCGTTCCGTGTTGGTAGGAATAGAAACAGAAAAATGAATGCATGTTTATGTAACTGTTTTTAGGATGAGCCTTATTAGGTTAGTCGATGCAGATTATTATATTCAGAGATACTGTACGACACTGACATGGTTCAAGATTTGTACAGTTAAAAATAAAGATTGATTTGAAAGATGACTAACCGTGAAGAAAAAAACTGTTGCAAGGAGGTTATACAACTGCTCTAAAAATGGTGCTGTGTCGTAATTCAGGGCAGAAAGTGTTTGTCTTTTGTGGGTTTTCCATTAAATATACTGTTAATGAGATTTCTGTACTCTCAAAAATGACTGTTTGCTGCACATTTAAACTACTTATTCCAAATGAGTTGAAACAACACAATTCTTAGTTTTTTAAGGGGACAACCTATCTGTTTTATGTTCAATCCACTTTAATTTGTAAAAACAATCAGGTTAACTTAATGGAGCATGAGGGATTTGAATGGAACCCAGCATTTTTACAGTGCATCTAGAGCACCACACAATAGGTCATTTTTGTTGTGTAAATATGATCGACATTTTGATGAGCCACATATCACGATTGGCCAAACATCTGCTGTGGAGGCTTGTGTTGCTCAAACTCTTGTCATTTTTCTGGATGAGCTTCAGTCTTTGGCTCTAGACTGTGTTCATGACATCTGGTGTCAAAACCTTGTGGTGCAGGTTAAAGTCAGCGCAGGAGTTTTTATTCACCTCTGACTTCAGCCAAATGTCAAACTCTAGCATTGGCTCATCCCTCAGCTTCATGTGCATGAAGAACAGCAAAACATTATTTAGTCAGTCAGCATTTAGTTAGTGCATCAGCTTTAATGTTACAAGAATAAGTGACAAATTTGGGGTACATCTAAGGCCTCGTTTCCGCTGAGTGATATGGTTCAGTTCGGTATGGTGCGAGTCACCTTTATCAGGCTTGCGTCTGCACTGCCAAATGTTGCCCTGTTGGTTTCTTGCTATAAGAAATGTTAAAGCAAAGCCATTGGGTTGTTCACATATTATATGAGAAGCACATCTATACTTGTGTATAAATGTTCATTACTAACCTTTCTATGAAGAGGACTTGATTCTAGCTGTAGATCATTAAGTGCAAAATACCCTACTGTAAAGTCTGCAGTTATATAAAATAAATACATAAATAAAACATATGAACACATACAGAGTCTTACAGTCTCTGAAATGTTACCAATACCAAAGAAAATACCCAAAGCATACATTTAGGCCTTATTTGGGTTCATAAACAATAGGAAACATATACAGTCAGTAGCCTACAAACCTTACATCTTTATTCTTCATCT